CCACATGAACCAGAGATTTTTTTTTTACATTTGATACGAAGGGCCCACAATTTATCATATTGCTCTCCATCGTCCCAAAAAGAATTCACTCCAAGGTCAACGATAATTCAATAATAATATAGATAATAATGGTTGTGAACTGAAATAGAAAACTCAGCATAAATGAAAATCGGGATGTTAGAAAATTTATTGCAGGCTTGATAATTTTCAATGAATATTTAATTGTTACTTTAATTAATAACGATCCACCGCGGGATTGGGCCGTCGACCAACGATTAATATTTCCATAAAGATAAAACAATAATAGTAAACTGGTATATGATAGAACTCCCCAGTTATCCCAAAAATCACTTGAAAAAAAAGTCTAATTGCAATGTTCACCCCGACATTTGTCCCAACATTTATATTTTCCTCATGATGAAGTGGAGCATTAAAAGTGAAAGCAAGTAAAGTTCCCAGGAATAATTATTCTGGGTCCTTCAAAGATGAAAAATAAGAGTGAGGCGACCATTGTATAATTTCTTGATCTCCATTGCACGGAAGATTTTTTTGGCTACACAACAGGGGGATAAAGTCGAAGCAAAAGAATTGAGGAGATAAGACGAATGACGGATTGGGTGAATTCAAACAAATTGTCGTAATAGTTTTAACGAAAAGTGAATTGCAGAGGGGGGAATGGAGGGATGGAAGATGGTTGAATCACACATGGCTTGTGACAGCTTATTCGTCGAGATGGGGTAATAAAATTCACAACCTTGTGGATTGTGAATTGTCTGGTGTATGTCCGGGTTACCGGGTACTCACTGGTAATAAACGCTGAATCTCAATACTACACTTGTGACAAAAAAAACGGGACATTGGAGACCCGTCCACAACGGCTTCAGCCATGTTTTGCGTTTATCTTCAACTTCTTGCTGTAAATTGATGACTGGATCTGTGAACCAAACGTTGCACTAATACAATCCACCCGGTGTCAACTTCATGGATGTTTCCTTTTTTCAAAATGGCCGTTTCACGCGCTAAAACCGCATTTTATTCAACTGAATTTCCTATTTTCAGAAGATCACGAATAATTTTGTAGACATTATTTTGTTTGGATTCAAGAGTTCTTCGTTGTTTTTGAGTAAATAATATATAATAATATATATGTATTTGTGCAATAGATAGTATATATAAGGTAATAAATCTCATTGCGGTAGTGGAAAGGCGAAAAGGATAAGTAATTAACCAAAAATTAATACCAGATTACGATGGGATTGACAGGATTGACAGGGTAATTATTTTTCTACATGAATCGAGTAAACGAATAGTCATTGCTTTTAATATCATTTACTTTGTACGTTAACGACAATTATATTATCATACAATTATTGAAATGAAGAAATAAAAAATTTTCACTCACATTTCTTTACACATTTCATAATATTTAATTGAGTTCATTTGATTTGAAAGAAAAAATAAAATCTCTCGCTTCAATCTCCAGTAGCATCATTGATTTCGAGTAAATGTAAATCATTACCTTCAAATTACATTGACAATGCCAGAAAGAATAATTAAGAGGCTTTGAAAGTGGAAGTAAAAGGAATCTATGAATGTTTGACTGGAAGAAATATAATTTTCTTGTTTTTATTAAATTAACCAATCTTTTAAACAATTTGTGGGTTTTTTCATTTTGACTGAGAAATAATGGAGCAATATTTCAGTTTTTTTTTTAGTTCCAAAGCGCTTTAAATTCAATATTAATGACATTAACAATTGACGTGTACCTTGAAAAATATCAACTAATTCTCTCAATATTTAACAAAATAAAATGATGTAAAATTAGAAATTTCCATTAATTTCGGGATAAACCTGAATTTTGAGAATTGATTCAGCAGTAGATAAACAAAATGAAATGAGAATTGAATAATTAAATATTTCCAGGAGGAAGTACTAAGAGAATGTATTGGGAGAATTTTCTTGCGACGAGTTTTCTTTACTCTACTAGGAGGAAGTAGTGAGAGTCCTACTTGTTCCCGAGATTAATTAATAATTAACAAAATTTAATAGAAACCAGGTGACCCCATGGTTCTACCCCCCAACCACTGAACTAAATCGATTAAAAAATCTTTTAAACAATTATGATAGCTTCTCAACAATTACATCATCTACAATTTTTCGACATTCAATCAGACACTTTCACTTATTCTATCGTTCCATCTTGTAGACATTATATTACACAGTGCATCAATGTAATTTTCATATTTTCATCTTCGAATACAATATAATGATATAATTTTATTCCTATGTAATGAAAATTCAAATGACTCCCATTTATACACTATCAAATATGATTTACATCAATAAAGCAGCGGAGTGGTAGAATAAGATAACTTCAAAATCTTTATGCAAACTATTTTGCCAATGTCTTCGAAACGAAAATTATTTCAAGGAACTATCATCTAACTTCCTAACTAGGTGAACAAAAA